AATTGAGTCATGACGCAATTATTTTTGAGGATTTTGGAAATTGAGTCAACAGCAAAATAATTTATGCCACATGTATACTGGAGAGGTCACACAGTGGATAGTAAAGTTAATACTACTAAAATTATAACAAAAAAAGTGGAAGAAAAAGATGGCCTATATGCTTTAATCAAATATGATTGTAAAGAAACAAAAGGATATAAACATAAATCAGAAAGAATTTTAGTCACAAAGTAACTGCTTTCAGCAAATTTCAACTAATCAATCTTTGCTTTTTTTAGAGTATTTTATATCCCAAAAAGCATATCACTATTGACAACTTTTTCAAACTTATTTATATGAAGTTGCAATTTTTTATTAAGCTCAATTAATCTAACTTTAGATACAATTATCTCATATAGCAATTTTTCTAACTCCTCATAGCTTATGCATTTTTTTTAATAATGGATCATCAGAATTTAAGCTAAAACATGCAGGAGCATCACATTTTTTGAACATTATATTGTCATTCTCACTATCCATCTCCTGAAAAATTTGATTAGATATCAATGGCTTATCATTTTGAGATGCAGTAGTACAATTTACTTCAAGTTTATTCTTGACTTTGTGCCAGAATAATAAAATCTTCTCCATTATAATGAATTTTTATTTTATTATTATCCAATCTACAGTATATTTATATTTTTTAAGAAGTGGATTTGAGAATATTAATGTTAGTTTAAAAGGGCATATGACTACAAAATCTTTATATATAGTAAAACCTGAAGGGAATGTTATTGGAAAATTACAAATAATGCCAATAGATTCTATTGGAACAGTAGCAACACCACTGAGATCATATTTTTCAGATCTATCTATTTTTTAGCTTACACGTTTAACAATATCTTCTAATACAATTGCAGGTTCAGTGCTACTATCTAGTACCAATGCCGAAACTTTTAAGCATTTGATTTTAACTAGTATAGTTACGATACTAATTACCAGTTCTTTCTGATGGACAAAATCTATCTTCATAGGATCATCTAGTATTTTATTCTTCTTATCCAAATTGGGTATTTCTGGAGTCAGCTCTCAATAATTTATAAAGTCAGGTTTTGTAATAGATACATTTATATTATTAATATTGTTTTTAATTGTTTCTATAACCTTTGAATTATTAAACATGGTTAGAATAATTCTTCGAATTTGTGAGTCAATAATCATACTTGATTTCTTTTATGAAGTATATTGAATCAATGATTTGAGACTCTGCCTCTTCTTTGAAATAGACTTTTTTTTAGAGAACAATTTACTCTTTGACTTTACTTTTTTTTTGATTTAACAGTATTGATAATTTTTATGATTTCAGTCTCAGTTAAGTCATTCTCAGAATCAGATTCCATTTCAGAACCAGACCTAGAGTCAGGACCATAATTGGATTCATTATCAGAAGAGTTAGCATCAGACTTGGAATCTTAATCTTTGAAAGCAAGATTAACCTTACCTTTCTTGGATTTGTTCTTACTAGGACATCTAGACTTGCTCTTTCTTTTATTTTTACAGTTGTGAAAATTGTAGCCGGGTTTGTTACACTTTGAGCATTTGCAAGAAGATTTTATAACTGCATGTATTATTCAAGCTAGTTTTGCTTGATTGATATTCAAATTCTTAAATTGTTTTCTCAAATCTTCAATGGGATCACAGTCATAGTCATAAGCTTCTTCTAGTAAATCTGTGTCATCAATAACACTATCTAAAAAATGGTTTATAACAAGATTATCGGCTTTTCATTTTTTTGATCTAGGGGGTTTCTTCAAAATTTGCTGTCCTTTAGCAATAGTTCCTTTCAAACCTGCTATAATTTTTTTGAAATTGTTTTGTGAAAGTGTAATTTGATTCTTCTGAGGTTTAGAAAAGATAGTTTATAAGACTGGTTGAGCTTGTGTAAATACATGATAGATTTTACAAAGTTTTGTATTTCATCTTTGATTATACCTATATTGTTACTTTTTTTATAGAAATTAAACACTTGACCTCCAGAAGATGGGAATGGAAAATTGTCTTGTAGTAGTAAAAATTTTTCTGTTTCAACTAATGTTTTTGTAATATTATCTCTAGTATCATAGTATTTAGCCATCATTTGAACATTGTATTGATTCATAAGATTTAATCCCCAAATATATTGCACTCTCATTTTTTATTCTGGTAATTCAGCAAGTTTTTCAAGTTTTGATATCTTGACATTATACTTGAGTATTGACATACCTCCTTGCACAATCTAACTAAAGAAAAGCAAATTTTTTTGCACTTCAACTGTGGGATAAAAATATTTAAGGCAGTATAAAAATTGCTCAAGAGTCATTTTGGGTATAACAATTAAATTACCTGCATTAGCATTTGCATAATTGGCTGGAGATAGAGTTCCTATAGGTGTGAGATGCTCTCCAGCTATACTCCAATCTTTATTCTATATACCCACTGGAATAATATTAGTACCAGTTATTATATTATCACTTCTAGCATTATTTCTTATAACTAATGCTTCTCCAAGAAACTAATTTGTATTAATACCTATTAAGCCTCCATTATTTAATAATTGAATTGCATTTAAGGTGTTTATGCCAGTACTATCAAGAATATTATTACATTGCCAATTTTTACTTTTAATTTTGTTCTCAAACCAGGTTTTTACTTCACCAACCATACATGATATAGCTAAATTATATGCTTCTGCTCTATCAGCAACTCCTCCTGCACTAGCTATAACATTTATTCGAGATGCAATTACAAATCTCTTGAATTCTAAGACCCAATCTAATAGATCTTCTCCAGCTTTTCCAGTAAAAAGAGATAATTCATTTCTTATTATATTTGATATTTGTATTCAAGATAGATTTATAGGTGGATTATTCTATAGTAATAAAATTTGAGCTTGTAAATTTAAAATTAATTGCTGTGAATTGCATTCTTTATTTTTTCATTTGATATAACTTGCCTTCTGATCTTTGAATTTATTGTAATATCTATCAAAAAATCAATCTCGATTATATTCTAATAATCCTTTATCAGCCTGACATCTTCACAATTCTTGTTCTAATCGATAGTTTTTTAATTTATACAAAATCTCAAAAATATACTTGAGTTTAGATTGTTCTTCTAATATCAAGGTAATATTATATCATAAACACTCTTACATATTATATCTTTGTTATAAATCCCTATTATTGGTATAGCATCATTGTAATAATAATTGAATAGCAAACTTTTCTCAAATTAATTCATTAACACATCTATTTTTATTACAATATGGAAACCACCAGCGACAACGTTCTTTCTGTTCATTATTATAAGCTATAGTTATTAAAGTAAGATCATTTTGATAATTGTTACATTCTTGAGTAAGTTGGTTAACTTGATTTCATAAGTTATGTCACTCTTGAATAATTTGATTAACTTGATTCTATAAGTTATCTCATTCTTGAGTGATCTGATTGACTTGGTCTAAAAATTATTTTGGGTAAGCTGATTAACTTGATTTTGCAAAACGATATTCCGTTGTCTATAGAAATTGATATTCTGTTGTAACTAAACTATCTGATTATCTCTGTCATCTCATTGAACAATAACACCATCTATATCCTAATACGCAGACTGATAATTAAGATAAACAGTATTTAAGGAGTCTCTAAGACCATTTATAATATTTATAGGATTATTTAATAGTGTTTCAGCTTCTCTAATATAATTCTTAATGTGATTTAAGCCTTAATCAATTTGTATAAAAAGATTAAAATTCGCTATATCTATATCTTCCTCTGAATTATATAAACTTGGAAAGCTTTTTCAAGAAAAAATAACTTTGAATCCATGCCTTATATTTTGAATCTGCTCTTTTAATTCTTGTAATTGTTTCTATATTATCGATATAAGATATCATATCTTGGACCTCCTTTTTAACTTAATATAAGCTTTTTTAAGGGATGATATTTCTGATCTCAACTCCACCTTTTCTTTCTCCAAAGCATTCTCAAGCTGTTCTAGTTTTTTATTGAGAGATTGAATTTTATTCTCACACTGAATATATTTATGTTCTAGATTTTTTATATATTTTTTATTTGATCTATTGATTGAAATTTTGTTAAATAACTTATCTCTCAAAGCTCGATTTATCTGCTCCAGTTCCAATTCCTGATTAAACACTGACCCATAAGATATTTTATTGGAATGTGGTCGACAAAATACTATAGTTATTTTTATTATAGTGAAATATATTGATACAAAGTAAAGGCATAGCCAAAATAAGTATACCTACTATATATAATATATAAATCTATATACTGAGGTGGCTATAGTTTGTCGTGCACTTTATTATAATATTTCCAGGTTTTATTCGAACATAAAAGCTTTACAAAAGGTATGCAAAAAAAAAGGGCATGGTCATTTTCAACTCAAGGATATAACAAAGTGATTAAAAAATCAGTATAATTACCAAATATATTGTCATCTATCAAAAATTAAGGCTTAGACTAGCTTTTTTAAATGTCAAATTCCTAATAAATTACACCAATGTAATCTATTACCTCATGTTTATAATGATTAGAAAAGAGGAAAAATGTATTTACACACTTTGGTGCTGATAGATATGATAACAAGATTTAAATGTGCAGTAGCATTGACATCAAAAAATAGTTTAGAAGTTTGAAACACAATTAAAAAAATATATAATGATTTCAAAAATTCTCTTACATGGCTAGCATTATTGATGATAAATGGTGCAAAGGAGTTAAAAGAAATATTCTCTTGAGGAATAGAATGTTATAATGTCTCTATAAGAGTTATTGATCTTTATAGCTTTAAAAGCTTAGTGTTGGTTAAGAAATTCAAACAAGATTTAACCAAACTTATATATAAAATTTAATATGTTATAGAAAGTAAACTCAAAGAAAGTGAACATTCTAAATTATAAAATAAAATACTTCAGAAAATTATCAACTACAGTATATAAATAATAATAAAACACAATTAATAGGCATGTATTCATTATATGTAATGACATTACAGGAAGTGATTTCCAAAGTAACTATCAAACCTAAAAGACCTATTAGAAAAGATAAACCACGATTACAAAAAGAAATGATTGTAAGATATTTATTAAAACCAGTCAAGTTAAAAGAAGGAAATATGCATAGAAAAACTGATCCATACTTCTCATTGCGTTTATGTAGGATCGAGAAAGTTATTGTAAGTAAGAATTCATTATAGTCAATCTTATATTATCTTGAGAATAAATTTATTGAATCTATAGCTTATTTGATAAGTCACAATTCATATTGACTAGTCAAGCGAGAAGAACTTCAAATAATCGAGAATCCTGAAAAAATAGAGATCCATCTGATGAATTTATACAAAAATATTATTTCTCTAGATCAATACATTTCATTTATATTTCCAATAATGAATTTGACAGCATGCAACAATATGCCAAGAAACACGGTAGAAGTATTTTAGCAAGAACTGGACAAATTAATAATTATAATATATATCTTTGATCATATGAAAATGGCAAACATCAATTCGAGTATCTATAATTATTGATAGCTGCAAAATTTAAGTGGTGCTTACTTTGTTCACATTTCAAAGGAGAGTGACCTGTGAGATATATTTTTGAGAATCTATTAGATAAGAAATTTTCATCTTGTAAACCATCATTTTTGAATAGGATACAGTTAGACAGTTATAATGAAGAGTTAAAATTAGTATATAAATATCATAGATCCTAACATTTTCATCAGAATCCAATGTTTCATAAGTAAAGCAAGATAAACTTAGAACAACAAAAAATTAGAGATCAAAAAAACAGAATATATGCAAGGAACAAGATATAGATCTTATTTCAATACTGTATGTCACTGATTTATTCCCATATATAAAAAGCAAATTGTAAAAGAAAGATTATTTATTGCATAAAGAATAAATTTGCAAATATAAGTACTCATGTTGTATATTAAATTATTGCAAAGCAAACCTGTAGGGATAAGTTACACTCATAACACTTTGGATTTATATTCTCTATATCTCTCTGAACTTTTAACTAAAATTTTCTCATATCTTGTCAAAAACAAAGCATTATACTTGATCTTATTTGTTAACCGGTTATAGTATTTATGTTCTGCCCCAATATTATAGAGAAAGGTTGAATTTATTGGTAACTTAAAAAATCAATATACAGTATATGGTAGAAAAAATTTAAAAAAATAATGTATGGAAAATATAAATCACATGCTTTATTTTTATTTTGACTCCATCTCTCTGGATGCAAGATTTCTAACAATACACTATATGGGATTACTAGATCATGTCCTAATTTATACCATCTAAAGATCAAAGGGTGTTGTGATTTATTCAATAAAATTATTAGTAAAATCCCACAAATTTGCAATCTGGAATTTCTTAATATAAAACGATTGAATAAATACAAAGATATAAAGAATATAACTTTATGCAAAATCACAAATTTGTGTCCAAATCTACAATACTTAAAATTTGAATCTTCTAAGATAACTGATATATTATTGAAAACAGTTACTCGATCATGTATTAATTTGCATTGCTTAAAATTGGATTATAATAAACATATTACTAATATATTTATAATCAAGATTGCACAAAACTGTCTACACTTAGAATATTTTGATTTATAGACAAGTAATACTACTAATACATCATTAAAACAGATTGCCAAATCATGTCCAAAACTTCTTATTTTAAGTTTAGTCAGATGCCAAAAATAACTGATGAAGATATACAGTATATGTAATTACTTCAGCATGCTCTAATATGCAAAAATATAAATTGGAATACTGTAAAGAGATTACTGATATATCAGTTTAAAAAATTGCACAATCTAATCCAAATCTTAAATATCTCAACTTTGTTTGATGTTATCTCGTATCTGATGAGTCTATTTGCGATATAGTACAATTATGTCCAAAATTTAAATAGCTTTATCTTGAGGGATGTGACATTATTAATGTATTTATGTCTGTATTAGCAAATTTGTATAATCTTCAGAAACTTGATATTGAGAATTGTGAGAAAATTGGTATGAATGCAATTATAATTTTGCAACATAAAAATCTTACTCTTGATATTATCAGTCATTATCTAGATACGAATAGTGAATCTGGTATATTA